CGGGGACATCATCAGGGATTGGGGACATCAGGGACACCGGGGACATCGGGGACATCATCAGGGATTGCCCTGGGGTCACCAAGGACACCCCAGGGACATCCCGGGGACACCCTGGGGTCACCAAGGACACCCCGGGGACACCCTGGGGACATTCCGGGGACACCCTGGGGTCACCAGGGACACCCCAGGGACATCCTGGGGACATTCTGGGGTCACCAGAAACATCTTGGGGACATCCCGGTGTCACCAAGGACACGCTGGGGACAACCTGGGGTCAACAAGGACACCCTGGGGACATCCTGGGGTCACCAAGGACACGCTGGGGACATCCTGGGGACATCCTGGGGATATCAGGGCCATCCCACAGACATCCTGGGGACATCCCGGGAACATCCTGGGGTCACCAGGGACACCCCAGGGACATCCCGGGGACACCCTGGGGTCACCAAGGACACCCCAGGGACATCCCGGGGACACCCTGGGGTCACCAAGGACACCCCAGGGACATCCCGGGGACACCCTGGGGTCACCAAGGACACCCCAGGGACATCCCGGGGACACCCTGGGGTCACCAAGGACACCCCAGGGACATCCCGGGGACACCCTGGGGTCACCAAGGACACCCCAGGGACATCCCGGGGACACCCTGGGGTCACCAAGGACACCCCAGGGACATCCCGGGGACACCCTGGGGTCACCAAGGACACCCCAGGGAAGGAGGAGTCGGGGGGACATTGAGGGGATTGGGGACATCGGGGACAGGGGGTGCTGAAGGGACCCCGCACCCAAATCCCCAACCCTCACCTCTCTCACCTGTCTGATCTCACCTGTCTGATCTCACCTGTCTGATCTCACCTGTCTGATCTCACCTGTCTGTCACCTATCTGGTCTCACCTGTTTTTATCTCACCTGTCTGGTCTCACCTGTCTCACCTGTGCAGGTAAGCTGCAGGCGCTGGACGTGCTGCTGCGGCGGCTGCGGGCGGGCGGGCACCGCGTGCTGATCTTCACGCAGATGACACGCATGCTCGACGTGCTCGAGCGCTTCCTCACCTTCCACGGGCACATCTACCTGCGCCTGGACGGCTCCACCCGCGTCGAGCAGAGACAGGTGAGGCACGCACCTGGGCGGGGCCAGGCACACCTGGAACACAGCTGGGGATGGGTGAGACACACCTGGGCACACCTGAGCAGGGTCAGACACACCTGGGACACACCTGGGTGGGGTTAGACACACCTGGGGATGGGTTAGACACACCTGGGGATGGCTGGGACACACCTGGATAGGGTTAGATGCACCTGGGGCACACCTGGGGGTGGGTTAGACACACCTGAGACACACCTGGATAGGGTTAGACACACCTGGGGGTGGGTTAGACACACCTGGGACACACCAGAGCAGGGTCAGACACACCTGACATACGCCTGGATAGGGTTACATACACCTGGGACACACCTGTGTGGGGTTAGAGGCACCTGAGACACACCTGGGGATGGGTTAGATGCAGCTGGGACACACCTGGGCACACCTGGGGGTGGGTTAGGTGTGGCTGAGACACACCTGGGGACAGTTAGAGACACCTGGGACACACCTGGGGGCAGTTAGACACACCTGGGACACACCTGAATGGGGTCAGACACACCTGAGATACACCTGGATAGGGTTACATACACCTGGGACACACCTGTGTGGGGTTAGAGGCACCTGAGACACACCTGGGGATGGGCTAGACACACCTGGGACACACCTGGGGGCAGTTAGAGACACCTGGGACACACCTGGGGGCAGTTAGAGACACCTGGGACACACCTGGATAGAGTGAGACACACCTGGGGATGGGCTAGACACACCTGGGACACACCTGAACAGGGTCAGACACACCTGAGACACACCTGAATGGGGTCAGACACACCTGGGACACACCTGGGGGCAGTTAGAGACACCTGGGACACACCTGAGCAGGGTCAGACACACCTGGGCAGGGTCAGACACACCTGGGGATGGGTTAGGTGTGGCTCAGACACACCTGGGGACAATTAGAGACACCTGGGACACACCTGAGCAGGGTCAGACACACCTGAGACACACCTGAATGGGGTCAGACACACCTGGGACACACCTGGGGATGGGGTCAGACACACCTGGGTAGGGTTAGAGACACCTGGGACACAGCTGGGGTTGGGTTAGAGACACCTGGGACACACCTGAATGGGGTCAGACACACCTGGGACACACCTGGGATGAACCTGGGTAGGGTCAGACACACCTGGAACACACCTGGGTGGGGTTAGACACACCTGGGACACACCTGGGGATGGGTTAGAGACACCTGGGACACACCTGAGCAGGGTCAGACACACCTGGGACACACCTGGGGATGGGGTCAGACACACCTGGATAGGGTCAGACACACCTGAGACACACCTGAATGGGGTCAGACACCTGGAACACACCTGGGTAGGGTTAGACACACCTGGGACACACCTGGGGATGGGTTAGACACACCTGGAATGCACCTGGGGATGGGTTAGGTGAGGCTGAGACACACCTGGGGACAGTTAGAGACACCTGGGACACACCTGGGTGGGGTTACACACACCTGACATACACCTGGATAGGGTTACATACACCTGGGACACACCTGAGCAGGGTCAGACACACCTGGGGATGGGTTAGACACACCTGGGACACACCTGAACAGGGTCAGACACACCTGAGACACACCTGGGCACAGTTAGATACACTTGGGGATGGGTTAGGTACACCTGAGACACACCTGGGTAGGGTTAGAGACACCTGGGGCACACCTGGGGATGGGTCAGACACACCTGAGCAGGGTCAGACACACCTGGGGATGGGTTAGACACACCTGGGACACACCTGGGCAGGGTTAGACACACCTGAGCAGGGTCAGATACACCTGGGACACACCTGAGCATGGTTAGACACACCTGAGCAGGGTTAGACACACCTGGGCCACACCTGAGCAGGGTCAGATACCCCGGGGACACACCTGAGCATGGTTAGACACACCTGAGCAGGGGCAGATACACCTGGGACACACCTGGGACACACCTGGGACACACCTGGGACACACCTGGGACACACCTGGGACACACCTGGGACACACCTGGGACACACCTGGGACACACCTGGGACACACCTGGGACACACCTGGGACACACCTGGGACACACCTGGGACACACCTGGGACACACCTGGGACACACCTGGGACACACCTGGGACACACCTGGGACACACCTGGGACACACCTGGGACACACCTGGGACACACCTGAGCAGGGTCAGACACACCTGGGCACACCTGGGCATGTCTGTACACACCTGGGCACGGGCAGGGACAGATGGGCAATGCCTGAGCAGCTCCAGGTGAGCTCCCAGGTGTGCCCAGGTGTCTCAGGTGAGCTCCTGAGTGCCCCCAGCTCCCTCCCAGGTGCTCCAAGGTCCCTCCCAAGTATCTCAGGTGTCCCCCAGGTGTCCTCAGGTGTGCCCCAGGGGTGCCCGGGCTCACCTGCGCGTCCCGCAGGCGCTGATGGAGCGCTTCAACGCCGACAAGCGAATCTTCTGCTTCATCCTCTGCCCAGGTGGGCCCAGGTGCCCCAGGGGTGCCCGGGCTCACCTGCGCGTCCCGCAGGCGCTGATGGAGCGCTTCAACGCCGACAAGCGAATCTTCTGCTTCATCCTCTGCCCAGGTGGGCCCAGGTGCCCCAGGGGTGCCCGGGCTCACCTGCGCGTCCCGCAGGCGCTGATGGAGCGCTTCAACGCCGACAAGCGAATCTTCTGCTTCATCCTCTGCCCAGGTGGGCCCAGGTGCCCCAGGTGTGCCCGGGCTCACCTGCGCGTCCCGCAGGCGCTGATGGAGCGCTTCAACGCCGACAAGCGAATCTTCTGCTTCATCCTCTGCCCAGGTGTGCCCAGGTGCCCTAGGTGTGCCCGGGCTTACCTGCGCGTCCCGCAGGCGCTGATGGAGCGCTTCAACGCCGACAAGCGAATCTTCTGCTTCATCCTCTCGACGCGCTCGGGCGGCGTCGGCGTCAACCTGGCCGGGGCCGACACCGTGGTGTTCTACGACTCGGACTGGAACCCCACCATGGACGCGCAGGCGCAGGACCGGTGCCACCGCATCGGCCAGACCCGCGACGTCCACATCTACAGGTGAGCGCACCTGGGACTCACCTGGGCAGGGGTTTGGGGGTTATGGACTCACCTGTAACACCTGGAGCTCACCTGTGCAGGAATTTGGGAGTTCTGGGCTCACCTGTGCAGGTGTTTGGGAGTCAGGAACTCACCTGTGTGGTTATTTGGGCATTATGGACTCACCTGTGCAGGTTTTTGGGAGTTACAGCCTCACCTGTGCAAGTATTTGTGGGTTATGGGCTCACCTGTGCAGGAATTTGGGAGTTATGGACTCACCTGTAATACCTGGAGCTCACCTGTGCAGGTATTTGGAAGTCAGGAGCTCACCTGTGCAGGTATTTGGGGTTTAGGAGCTCACCTGTGTCATTATTTGGGAGTTCTGGGCTCACCTGTGCAGGTGTTTGGGGGTTCTAGGTTCACCTATAAAACCTGGTGCTCAGCTGTGCAGGTATTGGGGAGTCAGGAGCTCACCTGTGTGGTTATTTGGGAGTTCCGGGCTCACCTGTGCAGGTATTTGGGAGTTCTGGGCTCACCTGTGCAGGTATTTGGGAGTTCTGGGCTCACCTGGGCAGGTGTTTGGGAGTTCCGGGCTCACCTGGGCAGGTGTTTGGGGTTGTTTGGGTCCCTGGGCAGGCGCAGGACCGGTGCCACCGCATCGGCCAGACCCGCGACGTCCACATCTACAGGTGAGCGCACCTGGGACTCACCTGGGCAGGGTTCTGTGTGAGTTACAGCCTCACCTGTGCAGGTGTTTGGGAGTTATGGACTCACCTGTGCAGATATTTGGGCATTATGGAGTCACCTGTAATACCTGGAGCTCACCTGTGCAGGTGTTTGGCAGTCAGGAGCTCACCTGTGCAGGTATTTGGAGGTTACAGCCTCACCTGTGCAGGTATTTGGGAGTTCTGGGCTCACCTGTGCAGGTGTTTGGGAGTTCTGGGCTCACCTGTGCAGGTGTTCGGGAGTTCTGGGCTCGCCTTTAATACCTGGAGCTCACCTGTGCAGGGACTCACCTGTGTAGGAATTTGGAAGTCAGGAGCTCACCTGTGTGGTTATTTGGGGGTTATGGGCTCACCTGTGCAGGTGTTTGGGAGTTGTGGACTCACCTGTGTGGTTATTTTTGGAGTCAGGAGCTCACCTGTGGCACCTGGTTAGGTGAGGGTTCACCTGGGGGCTCAGGTGAGCACCTGGAGCTCACCTGTGCGGCTGAGAGCTCACCAGCGTCACCTGTGTGACCTATCTCAGCTTTTTCACCTGTCTGTCTCTCACCTGTGTCACCTGTCTGTGTCTCACCTGTCTCACCTGTCTCTCACCTGTCTCTGTACCTGCAGGCTGAGCAGCGAGCGCACGGTGGAGGAAAACATCCTGGGGCTCACCTGGGGCTGTCTCACCTGTGTTACCTGTCTGTTTCTCAGCTCTCTGTACCTGTCTCACCTGTCCGTACCTGTCTCACCTGTCCGTCCCTGCAGGCTGATCAGCGAGCGCACGGTGGAGGAAAACACCCTGGGGCTGTTCCCGTGTCTCACCTGTGTGCTCACCTGTCCATACCTGTCTCACCTGTGTGCTCACCTGTCTCACCTGTCCGTACCTGTCTCACCTGTCCGTCCCTGCAGGCTGATCAGCGAGCGCACGGCGCAGGACCGGTGCCACCACATCGGCCAGACCCGCGACGTCCACATCTACAGGTGAGCGCACCTGGGCCAGGTACGGCCTCACCTGGGCAGGTGTTTGGAGGTTATGGACTCACCTGTGTGGTTATTGGGGGGTTACAGCCTCACCTGTGCAGGTGTTTGGGGTTGTTTGGGTCCCTGGGCAGGCGCAGGACCGGTGCCACCACATCGGCCAGACCCGCGACGTCCACATCTACAGGTGAGCGCACCTGGGCCAGGTACGGCCTCACCTGGGCAGGTGTTTGGAGGTTATGGACTCACCTGTGTGGTTATTGGGGGGTTACAGCCTCACCTGTGCAGGTGTTTGGGGTTTTAGAGCTCACCTGTGTGGTTATTTGGGGGTTCTGGGCTCACCTGTGCAGGAATTTGGGAGTTATGGACTCACCTGTGTGGTTATTTGTGGGTTATGGATTCACCTGTGCAGGTGTTTGGGGTTGTTTGGGTCCCGGGGCAGGCGCAGGACCGGTGCCACCGCATCGGCCAGACCCGCGTCGTCCACATCTACAGGTGAGCGCACCTGGGCCAGGTACGGCCTCACCTGGGCAGGTGTTTGGGGGTTACGGACTCACCTGTGCAGGTATTTGGGGTTTTAGAGCTCACCTGTGTGGTTATTTGGGGGTTCTGGGCTCACCTGTGCAGGAATTTGGGAGTTATGGACTCACCTGTAATACCTGGAGCTCACCTGTGCAGGTGTTTGGGAGTTATGGACTCAGCTGTGCAGGTGTTTGGGAGTTCTGGGCTCACCTGGGCAGGTGTTTGGGAGTTAGGGACTCACCTGTGCAGGTATTTGGGAGTTATGGACTCACCTGCAATACCTGGAGCTCACCTGTGCAGGTATTTGGGATTTTAGATCTCACCTGTGCAGGTGTTTGGGATTTTAGAGTTCACCTGTGTGGTTATTTGTGAGTTAGAGCCTCACCTGTGCAGGTATTTGGGCATTATGGATTCACCTGTGTCATTATTTGTGGGTTATGGGCTCACCTGTGCAGGTATTTGGGGGTTCTGGGCTCACCTGTAAAACCTGGAGCTCACCTGAGCAGGTATTGGGGAGTCATGAGCTGACCTGTGCCGTTATTTGGGAGTTCTGGACTCACCTGTGCCGTTATTTGGGAGTTCTGGGCTCACCTGTGCAGGTGTTTGGGAGTTACAGACTCACCTGTGTGGTTATTTGGGGGTTCTGGGCTCACCTGTGCAGGTGTTTGGAAGTCAGGAGCTCACCTGTGTGGTTATTTGGGGGTTAGAGCCTCACCTGTGCAGGTGTTTGGGAGTTCTGGACTCACCTGTGCAGGTGTTTGGAGGTTATAGACTCACCTGTGCAGGTGTTTGGGAGTTCTGGGCTCACCTGGGCAGGTATTTTGGAGTCAGGATCTCACCTGTGGGGTTATTTGGGGGTTCTGGGCTCACCTGTGCAGGTGTTTGGGGTTGTTTGGGTCCCTGGGCAGGCGCAGGACCGGTGCCACCGCATCGGCCAGACCCGCGACGTCCACATCTACAGGTGAGCGCACCTGGGACAGGTACGGCCTCACCTGGGCAGGTGTTTGGCATTTCAGAGCTCACCTGTGTGGTTATTTGGGGGTTACAGCCTCACCTGTGCAGGTGTTTGGAATTTAGGAGCTCACCTGTGCAGGAATTTGGGAATTATTGACTCACCTGTGCAGGTGTTTGGGGGTTACAGCCTCACCTGTGTGGTTATTTGGGGGTTCTGGCCTCACCTGTGCAGGTGTTTGGAATTTAGGAGCTCACCTGTGCAGGAATTTGGGAATTATTGACTCACCCAGGTGAGGCTCAGGTGGGTCCAGGTGAGGCTTGGGGGTCTCAGCTCAGGTTTGGGGTTCCTAGATGAGGTTTAGGTGGGTCCAGGTGAGGTTCAGGTGGGTCCAGGTGAGGTCTGGGGGGTCTCAGGTGGGCTTTGGGGGTCCCAGGTGGGGTTTGGAGGTCCCAGGTGGGTCCCAGGTGAGGTTTGAGGGGTCTCAGGTGGGTCCAGGTGAGGTTTGGGGGTCCCAGGTTAGTCCCAGGTGAGGTTTAGGTGGGTCCAGGTGAGGTTCAGGTGCAGTTTGGGGGTCCCAGGTGGGTCCCAGGTGAGGTTTAGGTGAGGTTTGGGGGGGTCCCAGGTGAAGTTTGGGGGGTTCCAGGTGGGGTTTGGGGGTCCCAGGTGCATCCAGGTGAGGTTCAGGTGGGGTTTGGGAGTCCCAGGTCAGTCCCAGGTGAGGTTCAGGTGGGTCCAGGTGAGATTCAGGTGGGGTTCAGGTGGGGTTTGGGGGGTCTCAGGTGAGGTTTGGGGGTCCCAGGTGGGTTTTGGGGGGTCCAGGTGAGGTTCAGGTGGGGTTTGGCGGGGTCCCAGGTCAGTCCCAGGTGGGGTTTGGGGGGTGCAGGTGGGGTTTTGGGGATCTCAGGTGGGGTCTGGGGGGTCCCAGGTGAGGTTTGGGGGTCCCAGGTGTGCAGGAACCTTTTGAGGGTGCTTCAGGTGTGGCCAGGTGGGGATCGCGTGGGTCCAGGTGGGGTTTGTGGGTCACAGGTGGGTCCCAGGTGGGGTTTGGGGGTCCCAGGTGGGGTTTGGGGGTCCCAGGTGGGTCCCAGGTGGGGTTTGGGGGGCTCACCTGTCTCAGCTGTATCTCACCTGTCTCGCCTGTCTCTGTCCCTGCAGGCTGATCAGCGAGCGCACGGTGGAGGAGAACACCCTGGGGCTCACCTGGGGCTGTCTCATCTGTGTTACCTGCGTTACCTGTGTGCTCACCTGTGTCTCACCTGTCTCACCTGTCCGTACCTGTCTCACCTGTCTCACCTGTCTCTGCACCTGCAGGCTGATCAGCGAGCGCACGGTGGAGGAGAGCACCCTGGGGCTGTCTCACCTGTGTCTCACCTGTCTCACCTGTGTCTCACCTGTCTCACCTGTCTCTGTACCTGCAGGCTGATCAGCGAGCGCACGGTGGAGGAGAACACCCTGGGGCTGTTCCCCTGTCTCACCTGTGTGCTCACCTGTCCGTACCTGTCTGACCTGTCCGTACCTGTCTGTACCTGTCTCACCTGTCTTTGTACCTGCAGGCTGATCAGCGAGCACACGGTGGAGGAGAACACCCTGGGGCTGTTCCCCTGTGTTACCTGTGTTACCTGTCTGTCTCTCACCTGTCTCACCTGTCTCTGTACCTGCAGGCTGATCAGCGAGCACACGGTGGAGGAGAACACCCTGGGGCTGTTCCCCTGTGTTACCTGTGTTACCTGTCTGTCTCTCACCTGTCTCACCTGTCTCTGTACCTGCAGGCTGATCAGCGAGCACACGGTGGAGGAGAACACCCTGGGGCTGTTCCCCTGTGTTACCTGTGTTACCTGTCTGTCTCTCACCTGTCTCACCTGTCTCTGTACCTGCAGGCTGATCAGCGAGCACACGGTGGAGGAGAACATCCTCAAGAAGGCCAACCAGAAGCGGCTGCTGGGGGACATGGCCATCGAGGGCGGCAACTTCACCACCGCCTACTTCAAACAGGTGAGCGCCCACAGGTGAGGGCTGGGCGGCACAGGTGGGTCCCAGGTGGGGTTTGGGGGGTCCCAGGTGAGGCTCAGGTGGGCCCAGGTGAGGTTCAGGTGGCTTCAGGTGAGGTTCAGGTGGGGTTTGGGGGTCCCAGGTGAGGTCTGAGGGTCACAGATGAGGTTTGGGGGGTCCCAGGGGAGGTTTGGGCGGTCCCAGGTGAGGTTTGGGGGGTCCCAGGGGAGGTTTGGGCGGTCCCAGGTGAGGTTTGGGGGGTCCCAGGTGAGGCTCAGGTGGGCCCAGGTGAGGTTCAGGTGGCTTCAGGTGAGGTTCAGGTGGGGTTTGGGGGTCCCAGGTGAGGTCTGGGGGTCACAGATGAGGTTTGGGGGGTCCCAGGTGAGGTTTGGGCGGTCCCAGGTGAGGTTTGGGGGGTCCCGGGTGGGGTGTTGTCCCCGGTGTCCCCAGGCGCCCTCTCAGATGTCCCCAGGTGGGTTCTGGTGGGGTTCAGGTGTCCCCAGGTGTCCCCAGGTGTGTCCCCAGGTGTGTCCCCAGGTGTGTCCCCAGGTGTGTCCCCAGGTGACCCCGCGTGTTTCCCGCAGCAAACCATCCGCGAGCTGTTCGACATGGCGCCCGAGGAGCCGCCGAGGGAGCGAGGGGACAGGGACAGGGACAGGGACAGGGATGGCGACGGGGACCGAGGGGACAGGGACAGGGACCGAGGGGACAGGGACAACGAGGACGACGAGGACCCCGCGGCCACCCGGAGGACGCACATCCTGGAGCAGGTGAGGGACCCCGGGGTGGCACCTGGGGTCCCGATGTCCCCAAATGTCCCCGATGGCCTCGGTGGCCTTGATGTCCCAGATGTCCCTAAATGGCCTCAAATGGCCTTGATGGTCTCGATGTCCCCAAATGTCCCTAAATGGCCTCAAATGGCCTTGATGGTCTCGATGTCCCCAAATGTTCCCAACGGCCTCAATGACCCCAAATGTCCCCAATGTCCCCAAATGTTTTCAGTGTCCCAAATTACCTCAATGGCCCCAAATGTCCCCAGTAGCCCTAAAGGTCTGAGTGTCACCAAATGTCCCCAAATGTCCCCAGTGGCCCTAAAGGTCTGAGTGTCACCAAATGTCCCCAAATGGCCCCAGTGGCCTGAAATGGCTTCAATGTCCTCAGATGTCCTCAAAAGCCTCAATGTCCCCAAATGTCCCCAATGTGCCCGATGCCCCCGATGTCCTAAATGTCCCCAAATAGTCCCAATGGCCCTGATGGCCTCAATGTCCCCAAATGTCCCCAGTGTCCCCGATGACCTTGATGGTGTCGGTGTCACCAAATGGCCCCAATGTCCCCAAATGTTCTCCGTGTCCCCAGTGACCTCAATGTCCCCAAATGGCCCAAAATGTCCCCAACGGCCCCAAATGGCCCCCATGGCCTTGATGTCCCCAAATGTCGCCCATGTCCCCAAACGTTCTCAGTGTCCCCAATGATCTCAGTGCCCCCAAATGTCCCCAACGTCCCTGATGGTCCCGATGGTGTCCCCAATTATCCCCAATGTCCCCAGTGTCCCAAATTATCCCAAACGTTCCCAATGTCCCCAATGTCCCTGGTGTCCCCAACCCCCTGAATGTCCCCAATGTCCCCAATGTCCCCAGTGTCTCCAATGTCCCCAACACCTCCAATGTCCCCAACACCTCCCATGTCCCCAATGTCCCCAATGCCCCCAATGTCCCCAATGTCCCCAGTGTCCCCAATATCAAAAATACGCCCGGATGTCCTCAATGTCCCCAATCCCCTGAATGTCCCCAGTGTCCCCAATGTCCCCTCAGTGTCCCCAATGTCCCCAAAGTCCCCAATGTCCCCAATGTCCCCAAAGTCCCCAATGTCCCCAATGTCTCTAATTATCCCCAGCGTCCTCAGTGTTTCCTGTGTCTCCAATGTCCCCAACACCTCCAATGTCCCCAATGTCCCAAATGTGTCCAATGTCCCCAGCGTCCCCAATATCAAAAATACGCCCGAATGTCCTCAATGTCCCCAATCCCCTGAGTGTCCCCAATCCCCTGAGTGTCCCCAATGTCCCCTGAGTGTCCCCAGTGTCCCCTGAGTGTCCCCAATGTCCCCTGAGTGTCCCTGTGTCCCCAGTGTCCCCTGAATGTCCCCAATGTCCCCTGAGTGTCCCCAGTGTCCCCAATGTCCCCAGTGTCCCCTGAGTGTCCCCGTGTCCCCAGGCGCTGTGCGGGGCCGAGGACCCCGAGGACATCCGCGCGGCCTCGCAGGCGCAGGCCGAGCGCGTGGCCCCGTGTCCCCAATGTCCCCAATCCCCTCAATGTCCCCAGTGTCCCCAATGTCCCCTGAGTGTCCCCAATGTCCCCACAGCCTCCAATGTCTGCAGTGTCCCCAATGTCCCCAACAATCTCAATGTCCCCATTGTCCCCAGTGTCCCCTGAGTGTCCCCAATGTCCCCAATGTCCCAAACACCCCAGTGTCCCCTGAGTGTCCCCTCAATGTCCCCAATGTCCCCAGTGTCCCCGATGTCCCCTGAGTGTCCCCGTGTCCCCAATCTCCTGAGTGTCCCCAGTGTCCCCGATGTCCCCTGAGTGTCCCCAATGTCCCCTGAGTGTCCCCAGTGTCCCCTGAGTGTCCCCGTGTCCCCAATGTCCCCTGAGTGTCCCCAGTGTCCCCAATGTCCCCAATGTCCCCATTGCTCCCAATGTCCCCAATGTCCCAAATGTGTCCAATGTCCCCAGTGTCCCCAATCCCCTGAGTGTCCCCGTGTACCCAGGCGCTGTGCGGGGCCGAGGACCCCGAGGACATCCGCGCGGCCTCGCAGGCGCAGGCCGAGCGCGTGGCGGCGCTGGCCGAGTTCAGCGAGTCGCTGAGCCCCGAGGACGGCGCCGGCGCCGACGGCCCCGAGGAGGAGCTGAGCAAGGCCGAGCAGGAGATCGCGGCACTGGTGGAGCAGGTGAGAAACACACCTGGGACAGGTGAGAGCACACCTGGGACAGGTAACACACCTGGGCTGAGCAAGA